TCAAGAGATTATGTCTGTCTACAGAATTAATGAGAAAGTATTAGCACAAAAAATAAAGCAACTTAAACAACTTACACTGAAAGAAATATTTAATAAGGTAAACAAATAAGTATTAAGCTTTTTTTTGTAAATTTTCATACCCTTTAGATCATAAATACTTCATTATTTCATAAATCACGATTTCATATTTTTAATTTTATAATTTCTACATGCCATATTACAAGATTTAAGCTCATGATCTAACATCCGAAAAAATCCCAAATCTGGCACCGCCGAAGTCCCGAAATCGGACTTTGTACCGTATTAGTACCAGCTGTACCTTGCCACATAATTGTATATTAGCACCATGTTGCATTTTTGCTCTCACCGGGTGTTCTTATATTATTTATTCATTTTGGATGAGATTTTCGAACTCGCATGATTTATTTAAAAAAATATATATTGTGTATGTGTGAACAGGATTTTAAAAGATCTTTAATTTATCAAGTAATGGGGTGGATATCATATCATTTTTTCAAGAAAGAGGTTGTGTACCTAACAAACGAGTATGCGAAAATGGCTACATCAAGAAATTATGTTAATGGTGAAACCATTTGGAAATGCAATATTAAAAATTGCAAAAAGAAGGGCCTCCGTGTTAGAAAATGGTTCAGCACTTCCAGAATACAGTTAGTCACTTCTATTAGATTTATGTCTTCTTGGGCAGAGGAGCTGAGGTCCATGAAATGGTGTAACAGACAGCTTAATATGTGTGAAAGTACTGCAGTTGACTAGAAAATTACATAATATAAAAAAAAATAATAATAATGATAAGGATTCTTAAAAATATTCTTAGGAAATGACATGCGAGTATTATTGTTATGATATATTGTGTTATTTATTTTTACATTCGCGCTTCACAAGCTTCGCGAAATTATAGAGCAGATCTTGGCACAAATCTAAAATCACCAAATATGATTTGGGCCCGCTATAACAAAGAAGTACCAATTTATTTAATGAAACAAATGTTTTTTCTCCTTGCTATACTGAAAACATTTATTCCAACATTTTAAAATTGCAGTATTGTTTCAACTGTTTTCTTGTTTGCAAAACCATTATAAAGAGATCTATTTGGTTGCTCTTGCTCACAGCTTAAATTCAGCCGGAGCCCAGCAGAGCTCCGCTCCGTGACTTTTCAGTCTCAGCAATGTTGCGATTCTGACCCGAGCCCCAACTAAGTTAGAATATTCTATAATTTATTATTTAATGCTTCATCGTTACTTTAATTTCATTTATGGATATTTTTATTTATGTTTTATTTAATTTTTATTCAATATTTATTCTTTTATTTATTTAATTGTGTCTATTTTTCCTTATGGCCTTCCTTAGGTCTCCTACACTTTTGATTTTTGAAATTAAGCCCTGCTCTTGCTGTTGTTATGCAGACAATTGAGAAAGATTTCTTAAATGCAAAATATACATTTGCAGTATTTAAATATTTCTCAAATCATTTTTATTTAGAAAATGCGGCTAATCTTTGGATTATGGTAACTTGGCGATTTTTTGGCAAAAATTTGGCGACCAACCCTGCTACAGCAACCTGCTAGTTTTTTGTTTGGACGCCATTTTGTTTTCACGAAGTAAAGGCATTTTCTTTTTTAACTCAACATTTTTTTCCAACAATCTGCTAGCTGAATTACGCATATGCTAGAACTTTTATGGAACAAAACTACTTAATCATGACAAAGATTAGGTGCGAAATTGGAAGAAAGTGCAGAATCGCAAACTGCTTACCGCGTTTTTAAGAATTGCACATACATGGTATCCATGTACACGTCGACCTATTTTCACTTAAAAAAAAATCCCAGAATTGCACAAAAATGGCACTGCGCACACTCTTCACTTTATCCATGTACACTGCTAATGTCCTAGCTAGTAACCTTCATCGCCTTACCAAAATATCGCCAAACTACATGTTACCATATTTCAAAGATTAGCCGAAAATGCTTTTCACAACTACCAACACTTAACAGAAATTGACAGGAAAGTTTACACTAATATTAAAATATGTAGAACTTTGTTTTGAAGACTGTATTTTTGAATAAATTGCAAATATTAAAAAGGACTGCCCTTCCAAATTCTCGTTTCAATTTTCCTAGCAATAACAGAAATAAAATTTTGAAATACTTTTTTCTTAACAAGAAATTCTTCCTTATGAATGTTACCCTAATCATAATTTAGTCGATATTTGTAATTTGCAATCAAAAGTTACATCGGAATAAAAAAGATATAACAAACATATGTAGCTGTTGAAATCACATGACCACTTTGATCTAGAGAAAAACAGTTATTCTTCTCAATTCCATATGGCAATTTAGAATCTAATCATTCATCACCAGCTTTGATGATCCACCTGACTAACCACTGAACCTTGATAATCTCCTATAAAATAATGTTGGTTAAAGTAGCAAGAAGGGTACCCCTTGTATTATAAGTGTCCTGTTTGTAGGAAGAAAATGCATATAGTCGAACATCGGACCATAAACGGTGCTATGGAGGATATTTTTACTCTTATTTTGTGAATTTATGTGGGAACGCCAGTATACAGATTCTAGCTCAGATAATTTTAAGAAGTTTTTAGATGCTGTTAAGGAATTTTGTTTGACTGAAGACATGTTAATTCGTAAATAAGGTAAGTGGATATTTCCTTCGTGTAGTACAAAGATGAATTTCCTTTTTTATGTTATTTCATATTTTGATTTAAAATGTAGTTTATTGAGATTATATATTCTTTTGTTGGCTGCTTTGACTTTTCAAGTGAATATAGTTCGATGTGTACATGGACAAAGAGAGTGCACAATGCCCACTTTGTGCAATTCTCTGATATTTTTTTTAAGTGAAAATAGGTCGATGTGTACGTGGATAAAGTCAACGGAGTGTGCAATGCCAAGTTTGTGCAACTCTCTGAAGTTTTTTTAAGTGAAAGTAGGCCATTGTGTATGCCAAAAATCGCTACTACACAAAGTCAAAATAACAAGACAAAGAATTGCACAAATTCGGTCCCCATGTACCGCCAATTTTTGCCAAGAGGTACCTGTAAATATATTTTTACCATAATGCTTCACACAAAAAATGTCACCCCTAAAAATGTACTGCCCGAGGCTGCTATCTAGTTATGTCACTGAGTTTGATGCAGATTTTCAATAACTTTAGTGATTTTGAAGATTATCAGACACAGTTCCCTCTTCTTTAGAAACAAAAAAAAATTCTGCTGAATTTTTTCTAGTCCTGAAAATAAAATTCTCTGAAAACATTTCTGCCAGGTTGCTTGTTTGCTCAATTTATATTTTATACTTGCAAAATCTTTTCCAATGATGAATATCTTCTCAGTATTAAGAATAAGGACACAGCATTGGTCAAATAATTTTCAGGTGCATTATGAATATTTTATAAAAGAACTTTGTAAAAGACATGAACATTTTATAAACAAACTAGCGTATTTTCCTAATTAAAATGCTCTGAAAGTAACTATGTGCTTTTATTAATATTTATATTAAATCAGTTAAATTCCATTGCTTATTTGAAGGATATATTTTCTCATCATTTAATATTATCATTTGGTTAATGCTGCCAAAATAGCCATGGGCAAATGTAATCACATGAAGCAACAACTACATAATACTGATGAAAATAGTTTGGGAATATGTACCATTAAATTCTTGTTCATCAATAGTGTACCTAAAGTATTCAATTCTCTATATCAATTATGTTATTATCAATAATATAATGACTCTAAATATAACTAGAGATTCTACACAAATTATTTAGCAAAACTAGAATGCTACAAATCCTGCACCACATACCATCCAACCCAGATCTTAATCTTACCAAAACCTTTTAGGTTTCATAAGGTGTAATTTAGTAAATTAAGAGGGTGCAACCTGTAGGGTTCAGTAAACTTAACAGCTAGAAAAATCTTAAATGATCTCCAGAAAGATCCTTTGGAAAAAAATATAAAAGTTGACAGACAAATTTTAAGAGAAACTTTCCTAAAATTAGCCCCCTCCCCTCAATAAAAAGGAATTCAAGGCTGAAACTAAAACAAAAAATAAAATACAAAGTGTTTATTTTTTAAAAACAATACCATATTGACAGCTAACGGAATCATGGCTTTAAAAATATAATAATTAGCAATGGGAATTGCAATAGAATTTTTACATATTTTATGCCAATTCCTGTTGCTAATTTTTTAAAGCATTTAATTACTTAATTCCTTTTCACAATATAAATTATATTCAGTGCAGAGGTTTCCAACTACTGAGGAATTTCCCCATAAAGGCAGGGAATTTCATAGCTTCAGGGGTTGGGCAATGCAGGCAGTCTTTTATTTACACATTCAGTATTTAGTTTTAGTTTATAAATATAAAAAACTACTTTTATTCAAGTTTTGATATTTATCAATATTTTCTATTATTTTTCTTGCTTAATTTTTATTCATTTTTCTTTTTTTTTTTTTTTTCTGTTTTTTGCTTTTATTTTATTCTTATTTCTATTATATTTCGTGTTTTGTTTTAACATTAAAAATAATCTGAATTTAAATAAATGTTTTCTTCTATTTTTGGAAAAGGGGGGATGGCCATCAAAGTAATAGCAAAAAGCGTTGAAGTGCCCAAAAAAAAAGATCGTGAGCCATTGTTTTAATGCTTATATTAAATAAATAAATATATTCTTATAAACAATTTATGTATTCCTACCAAAACAAAAAATGTACGTATTCCCATCTGCGCAAAAAAATGTATGTTATCCAAAAAAAAAATTTTTTTTTAAATAAAATACTCAATAAAATTCAAAGAAATGAGAAAAAAAAATAAAATACTCAATAAAATTCAAAGAAATGAAAAAAAAAAAAAAAAAAACGAATATTCTGCTGTACTGTGTATCATTCACATATATCACCCTTAATCAGTTGGTATAATATGAAACAATTATTCAGTCCGAACGAATTTCGAAACTATACTTACATTTTTAGTTCGCTTTGAGGAACGGCCATTACAACACTATGGAACTACCTGTAGGAATCAATCGGAACAGCTGGAACTCCTGCAGAAATTATAAAAGACAATAATATTTATATCATCGCCAGTTAACGTATATTAATCATCTACAGAATCATTTACAAAAGATTTACTTTTATATAACAGTACTTTTAACGGCAAAATATATCGTAACACTGCGGTAAACACGTATGTATCAACGCCACATTCGCCAAACAACTACGAACTGAGAGCCCCAAACAACCACGAACTGAGAGCCAATCTCTAAGATTGTCAGACAGACTAGCGTCTACATCCCAAAACGGCAGCCTATGAGAGAGGCGATTCTATTATTTTCATCAGGGAGTACCTAAGTTAGAATGGTTTTTTTGAGGAACGCCAACGGCTGTGCGCGATGTTTGCTTACATTAGGAAGTTCAGAAAATTGCAAAGGTGGGATTGCCTTAGTTTCTGCGGTTACTTTCAGGGAAATATTAAACAGTTTTTTTTTGGTTTGCTGATAGATGGCAAATAGATAATTTATCTTTATAAATCCGCGTTTATCTACTTAAACTTCAGAAGATTTAAGATGAAGTGAATATATTTAACACAACAGAATGCAAGCTTAAGACTTGTAAATCTTTTAAAAAAAAATACATCGATAATTAAAAATATTATTTATAGTTCATTATTAAAAACTTTTTATAAATGCATAGTTATCATATAATTAACAATTCATCTATGCATTATCTCATATTATTTTATTATAATTAAAAGAGAAGATATTTTTACAGTAATGTTTAAAAATTGCTGTTGTCTTTTAAAAGATTTACAAGTCTTAAGAAAAAACATACATCGATAATTAAAAATATTATTTATAGTTCATTATTAAAAACTTTTTATAAATGCATAGTTATCATATAATTAACAATTCATCTATGCATTATCTCATTATTTATTATAATTAAAAGAGAAGATATTTTTTACAGTAATGTTTAAAAATTTGCTGTTGTCTTTTAAAAGATTTACAAGTCTTAAGATTGTGTTCTGTTGTGTTAAATATATTCGCTTCATCTTAAATCTTCTGAAGTTTAAATAGATAAACACGAATTAATAAAGGTAATTTGTCTATTTGCCCTCTATCAGCAAACCGAAAAAACTGCCTAATATTTCCCTGTAAGTAACCGTAGAAACTAAGGCAATCCAACTTAGCAATTTTTTGAACTTCCAAATGTAAGCAAACATATAGTCCACTGCCGTTGCATTCCTCAGAAAACCATTCTAACTCTCCTACTCCCCGATGAAAATAATAGAATCGCCTCTCTCATAGGCTGCCGTTTTGGGATGTAGACGCTAGTGTCAGACAGACCGACAATACTAACTAGTTTTAGCAATTGCCTACCGCTTGCTAGCATTAACGCTTGCCAGTATTGGCGATATATCGCGGGATTGGCAATGAAAGACATGCCGTTGCGTTAAATTTTGTCTGGCTTCTGTTGCTAAGCGTGTATTATATATATTAGTTTGTTATATGTAATGTGATCATTCGAAGTTATATGCATTCCGACAAAATCTACGGGCGCGCATTATTATGAGCCATCCTTCGAAACTCGAGGAATTGCAGAAACTGGTAATAAACATTATAGAAATACATATCATCATTTAATTTTAAATTATTAATTCTGAATGGCATCAACTGTTTAAATACAATTTAATTTTTCTCATTTGATTATAATTATTATTGATTATACATGTGATTACATCTAACTTGAGAAATGGAGGACATTGTAAACTAACTACCTTTACACGTAAATTGGGAGCAACTAATGAAACAATTTAATGCAGTAATTAAAAATACAAAAAATATTAAGTTGGCCAAATACTAAATTCTCAGCTTGATTTGAGGTAGAATGTTCAACAACCTAGTTGCTACATATAAAATTTATTTGAGTCAAATTATAAGTAAAATAATGTTGAAAAACAGACGCAATGTGTACAAACAGCAGTCGAATTGAATGAAAAAGTATAGTATGTCTTAAAATTAAGGTTCAGGAGAAAATATTAAATTTTGATTGAGTATAATTAAAAATTATATATTAGTATGTTATGAAAATGCCATAAATTTTAATCATATGACAAATCTTGGTACTGTTCATATGTATGCACATGTATATGCATATATGTGCTTTTATCTGCGTGTTACACATACATACAGGCACTATTCATACATACAGAATATGCACATGCATACATCAGCATAAGCATTTATAAACACATGCATATATACATACATTTCTGAATTCGGTCCTGATAACAGAACAGTACATAGACAATGTAACTTATGTGTCTAGATTAGTGGTTCTTAACCATCATTGTTACATTTCTGTACAATATCTTTCATCTCAGGTTTGAGTAGCGCATTTCAAAGAATAGGTAAAACTAAAAATTGAAATGCAGTACAGTATAAAAACTTTTATAAATAAGAAATTTATTATATTTAATAAATGTACATTATTTATGTACACAAATCATTATTTAATTTAAAAAATAAAAACAGGAAACATTTCTATCAGTTTCACTGCACTTAATCATGCTTAAATTTAACTTTTTCCATCCCATTCATTTCAGTCACAACTTAGCTGTTCTTTCCTGATGAATAAATATACTAATCCGTAGTTGAACAATTTCATCCTTAGATCATGAAATTCTTCCTTGGGGAGAGAAAATTTAGTACTTGGTGAGAAGCCCTGGTTTAGATTTTTTTTTTTTTCCCCCTCCATACAAATAAATCTGAATAGGAAGAAAAAAATTATTTAATATAATGTTTAAATGCATTAGCAACCACTTGCATAACACAGTGAAGCCATTATTTCTCTCTTTCATCTGCTAGTGAACATGAAGTTCTAAACTTTTCAGGGCATCAATGGTTACTAGTTGCAAATCATTTACATTTATTGTACTGTTTTTTTAAAGAAACTTCAACTTACTAACTTTTTGAAAAAAAAAATCGCTAAATTAAGTTCTTCAAGAACAATAATTTCAGAAATCATTCAGCAGTATATCATTCGGTAGTAACATTAAATCAGTCCTTAAAATCAAGTTTTAGTTTATAATGGGAAAGCATGCTAGGACTATCTGCCTAAGAGGAGGAATGCTTTTGTGGAGGACTTTCTAAAGGAAACTGGCTCATATGCATGTTACCCATGGGGACAACATGAAAATGCACATGCAGCCAGCCCATTTGCCTGGATTCAAACCCAGACTGGAATAACCAGTGTTCAAGGATTTTTACCACTCAGCCACTAGTTAGCCCCTTCAAAATAAATGTTGTGAAATATATGATGTTGGAGTCATGAAAGACGCTTTCAAAGGACATATAAATAAGCATTTCTCAATGACTGAATTAAATTAATATTTTTTACAGTCATAATTAATTTTGGATTGAAAACTCAAAATCTTTTTTTTTAAAAAAGAAAAGATAAGAATCAAGGTTACAATGCACTGGCTAAATTGTTCTATACCTATTAATTAAAACAAAAAGCTGAAATTCCTAATCAAATTCTCTCAGAGGAAACAAAAGATCATTAATTGAATTAAAATATAAAAATGAAAATTTTTATCATGTTAGTAAGATCCTTAAACATTTCAGAGACTGTTTTACAGAACTTCAAATGCCTAAGATCTGCAGTCAGAGGACCAATTAATTTTTAATTATTGTTTAAATAAATACCTTTCTGAGCCAGTTATAGAAAAGAAACATCAATATACCTAAGTTAATGAAACTAATTATCTGATCAAAAATAATTAAGGAAATATGAATACCTTATCTGCATCCTAACAAAACGTCACCAACTCAATGGCAAAAAATGCTTGTTTGGGTATCTTTACAGCTCATAGGTAAAATTCTTTGACAAAAAAATAATACAAAGTTATATCTCTTAAGTAGCAAGAAATTTTATGAGAAAAACAATAGTCTGTAGGGTTGATATTTACACTTTTACAGTTGATTAACGAAAACATTTGTCAGTAAAATGATGGTTAAGTGTAAAATATATAGAAAGACATGATCTCAGACATGCAGTGAGGTAGGCATATGAGCAAGTTGGCTAATGGTCCATGCATACTTGAAAATATGCCAAATATAGGACATTTCTATCAAATGTTGAAACTGGAATTACAGATTATCAGAAAGAACTGAAATATCATTTTCCCCAACTACCAGGATATGTACCGAGAAGCTATTTTCAAAAATGAGTGTAATTTAGAGAAAAGAGGCATAGCCAAAGTTTGGCAAAAATTTGGTTAACATTAAGGTGACCAGCTTTCAAAGTTCAAAATTTAGGACATTTTATATATATAATTTTTTTAAATACTTTTTTTTTTTACAAATAAATTAGTTTATTATTGTTATTGTGGTGGAGGTGGTATGCACGTCAAAATATATATATAAATCAAAATAAATAAGTTTTTAAAATTGTGATATATAATATTTTTGGTATTATTCCATTTTGAGGACCGTAAAAATTGCTAAACTATTGTTGATGCCAGAGCTACAAAAAAATAATTGCGGCAACTCTAACACAAGAAAGGAAGTATAATAGTAAATAATTATCCAAGAATATTGTTTTAAATTAGATGAAAGGTTGATTTCATATAATACTTTTTTATAATTATAATTTATATAAAAAAGGCTAAATATAATTGAATGGAAGCATAAGAGTACATAACTATTTCAGATCATTATAATTTATATAAGTAAAGGCTAAACATAACTGAATGGATTCCTGCATCGCTATTTCACTACCGAGTTATCGCTAAAGCATAATTTCATCTCGTTGGTTGTTCACCATAATTTTCTATAATGAATGATGTCTTTTCTTTGAAAAAATTCTATTGCAGGCTTTTCAATTCCCAAATTGTTAAATCCCTGGCGTTATCAAAAAAGGATTTACAAATTAAACTGGTATTTCAATGGCATCTTAAGAAATATAGAACTATCTAAACTTACGCAATTTGGAATCAGCACGTACACTAGATTTGGCGCGCTGTTAAGTGGGCGCGTTTGCTAGATTGCGCTTTTGCACATATATTTTCACTGCAATTTTTTTTACAGTCCTCAAAACGGAATAGTACCATATTTTTTAATAAATAAAGAATAAATCAAAATGCAGTATTCATTTTTAAACAAAATAATAAATTTATAATCCTTCTAAATTATTTTGATGAAGTAGCCTTATATTTCTCTGAATCATGAATATTTCTTAAAACCTATTTTTCTCTTTTGATCTTCTTATAACAATTCGTACAATTTTCATG